CTACAGGATGCGGCATAAAGGTGCATAGAGACAGGGCCCCAAATGAGGGGGTGGGCTTTGGACTGCAGTGTAGGCCAGAAAGGCCTACCTAATTAGACGTTAAATTTGAATTTGAATACGTTGTTTTAAAGTTTATTATCATATTTTATAATATATTAACGTGTGATCGACAAAGTGATATTATTATATGCAAAAAAGTGACATTTCATTAAATGAAAAGACCTACAAAATTTACGAAATTTCCAGCTTCAAATTAAGAAATACAAATAACGCCRAGTTATTCARAACGTATTGACGAATAAGATAACAATTRACACGAGTATAAATACTGTTTATTAATTTTCTTTGATCAATTTTCGGAAATAATTATCAAACATTTATAATAATCTKATTTTAAAAATTAATAGAAAGTTGATTTAATTATTTAACATTTTCAAAAATCAACCGATATGWGTGTTAAACAATTGGKATTTCAGAAATAATCTTTCTATCAAAGATTTTAWTGGTACCAAAGTTTTACCGGTGCGCCAATTTTAACTCAAGTCYATATCGAAACCGACCAGSAGTTCATGTTCATGCATAGGTACATTAGTATATGAACAAGTTATATAATAGGATAAGAATTAATAATGGATGAGCAAGTATGGACAAATGCACACGACTGCATTTCGACGACAAATGTATTCGATACGTATAATATTAATGGATTTATTATACATGGTTGTATCGTATGTCATATGTTTTAATATGTCATTTTTTATTTACAATTACTGATTGATAAATAGGACTTGAAAAAATAAAAATAAAATATCTATTTGTATTTTAATTTTTCAGTGAAAAAATATAATTTCTCTAGCACGTGTTCAGAACACCACGTAAAACTACTCTGCTGTATAATGTATTATGGAAAAAAAAAGGCTTCATAAATTTGCCTAGACATAAGGATCGTTACATATGTAAGAATACCATTACTATTCTGAAACTATAAAATAAACTTTACCATCACGTTAATGTGGTATTACAGTAGTATACTGATCAATGATAATCCATCTTCTCACGCTAAAGTTTCTCATATAGAAGTATTAGGTAGGTACTACATTATTTGTTTTTTAATCCTTCTATAGTACGAAGAACTATCCAAGTATTTAATACGAGACAAAGATAATAATCAGAACCACAATACTTTTATTCTTAGGTATATTAAAAACAATTTTTTTGTAYTCGATGCATCACACACGATCAAAAATCATTAGGCTGTTAAAGGTCAAACAACACTCAATTTTATGTATATAATAATACAGTGTATCTATATATACGCACCTTAACTGGATTGAATCCCAGTTGCAATGCTAAATCGATGCCTGCCAACACTCTTTTCAACAATCGGCCGTCTCTTCTAGTTATATTTCCATATGTATTTTGTTGTAACGTGTCTAAACTAATATTTAGTGCGTTCAATCCAGCTCGTTGGAGGTCCACCAATTGTTTCGTTAGAGTCAAACCATTCGTGGTCATCGCAATCGTTTTGAGATTTTTAATATTTCTCAGCGATTCTAATACACAACACAGAGTTTAATTATCATAGTATCATACGTCATGTGYACAATATTTGATAGCAAAATTTTTAAAAAATCAACGATGTCATTATTCTAAAGTTTAGACATAATAAACGGTATCTGTACATAGTAAGGTCTAAGGTTTGTTAATTGTAACCTACATCAGAACCTGATACAAATATTTAATCAAAAATTCATATTTCTAAACTACTTAGTTTATTACGATAAAAATCCTGTTTTCATATTTTAAAAGGTGTATTCATTTTTTAAAGTATRATATATGAAATTTTAACACMATATTTTAAGAGAACTTCAGAGTTAAATAGGCTTTGTAAGTACCAATGTACATTTTACATAAATTTCCAAGCGATCTCAGATATTTTAGTTCAATTAAGTGTCTAAGTACCTTTATTTATACTTTCAATTTTTAGATTCAAAAAGTAGAAAGATAATTTTTTATTTTTTAAAACGTCTAATAAAAAAGCTCAAATATAATGATAYTATTATTATTACTTAAMAACTTGAATTGAGTTATGTTAAAATTATATAAGCTTACCAACTATTTGAATWATATCCTTTTTCACTGTAGGTTCTCCACCTGTAATTCGAATTTTATCAACCCCTTGTTTAGCGAATAATGATACTAAACGGACTATTTCGTTATTCGAAAGCAATTTTGACTGTTCTGACAGCTTTGCTCCTTTAAGTGGCATACAATATTCACCTGGACACATTTTGTTATGGTTATACATTAAAATTTATAAGTAAAACAAAGATTTTATAAATATCATTAAAATTACTTAATTTTTTTACATAATATTTTATATTTATATTTATACATACCTAATACAGGTTAGGTTAGTACAGTTTTTAAAGTTTGACAATTTGTACAGTAWTTTTTCATTCAAACTGATAGGTAATTTTTATTTTTATTTTTAAATGGATGTTAGTGATTACTTACATCTAAGATTACAACGTTCGGTCAGCGACACTCGAAGATAATTATGTTTCCTACCAAATGTGTCCATCAAAACTTCATCGAACGATGATTTCTAAAACAAGTGTTATTCGTCTATAAGATGTTGAATACATTAATAAATAATAATATAGGTATTGAGATTATTATTATTCAAACTTAAATCTATTCATATCAGGAATGAAGGAACWTTTATTTTCTAGAAAAAGCTGTTTCTTCAAATCAGTCTGCAGTAAATACAATCTGCAATATTAACTAAACAAATTTCAATAATTTTACGTTTAACGTTATAATATGTAGTATAAATGAAACATCTTTACGAATACGMTGACTTGTTAATATTAACCGTTATAGTTACTATTTATTTGTTTAATTTTTTTACTGTATCAAAATATACAGGATAATGTATTTAAAATTAGCTACTTGCATTTTAGTCACATTCAAACATTAAAATATATTTAAGATTATTCTTAGAAATACCAATAGTACAAAAAAATAAAAATATATATTGATATTGTATTAGTAAATCGATTGTTCGTCAATATTGTCTGATGAGTCTCTATATTAAACACCATTTAATTCATATTTACATTATAATGCCATAAAATGTGTTTCTATTTTCTAAATTATACTAAAAACATTAACTAACCATTCAAATTTAAAAACAAATAAATGTATTTATTTTATGAACATTATACTTCTTAAGATTTGGCAGTAATATCTTTATTGTAAAAATTTTTTTAACCATTCATAAATTATAAGTTATATTATGAGATACTGTATTATTGTTTGACACATTTTTTAAAATA